TGAGAAAGCATGAAGTGACAGTGGAGAGGAAAAACTCCCCATTGGGAAGAAACCTCTGGGAGAACCAGGCTCAACATGGCGGTCTTCTGTCAGACCGGTTTAAATGAGACGCGGAATGCAGTAAGAGTCTGAGAGGAAAGACACTCAGATGATGCTTTAGCTACGATGGTGGTGAAGGGGCTGGAGGTAGGCTCAATCGCGAGAATAGTTTTGTGAGTTTACTAATAATGTCAACCAAAGAGCAGCATCAATTACTGATGGTGTATTCTCTAAGTTTAATTTAATGCAATTCAGTTCAAATGAAATGTTTTAACTCATAAGATTTTTTTTTATTTCATTTTTTTTTTTTATGAGTTGCTGTGGATATTAATGGCTGCAGGAAACAAGGAACTCCAGTAGCTTTCTGTCAATGACGATTTTTTTAAGTGTGGGATATTAAAGTCTGATGGCAAATTCCCAGACTTCGATTTATAGGCACTCTCTGCTTTACATTAAAGCACTTTCTACCCGTTTTCTTGTATACAGTTTAAGTATAGCTTACATGTATGGAATATTTTCATTTTCTAATCTATTCAGAATTTATGCAATGTATTTTTTCGTTATTTTTAGTATAAACTTCTGTGTCCCACAAGGTTTTTTTGTATTTCCATACATCCATCTCCTACCGTTGGCCCTTCATGGTCACCGGGGGTGTCCTCTTTCTATGGGTTTTCTATCCTAAACATGTCGCTAGGCATCAGGACATTTTTGCTTGTTGATTATGCCGTCTACCGCCCAACCCCCCAGTCATTGAAGCTCACCTTTCTCACCGCGGTTCTTTGAAAACGGCAGAGGGTCGTAAGAGAAAAAGTGTCTATGAAGTGTATGAGAATAAAAGAAAGGCCTCAGAATATCCCATAGTGCAGTACCAACCGTGCAAAAACTAGTGATCATCTGTCCAACGGTCAGTTAACAGAGTTCACTTCACTACAAAGTCCACTTTATAGTCCCCGCTGTATGGTGACACAGTAAGCTTGTATGAGCTATGAGAACAGCACATTTTAAACAGGGCAAGCATGAGGAGAAATCGGCTCGTGCATGCTCTGGCAACCGCTTTTTTTTTTTTTAAGTGGAGAAGGTGGGTCTTTTAAAAAAACCTCCACAATACCTTTAATGTATTAGTAGCCTCGTGAGACCATCCTGATCTCGCAATCTTTCAAGATTTCACTCGCTAATCAGTCTGGCTACTCTCCGTTGAAGAAAATTTGGAGCCGTTCACCAAACGAACGTCCAATCAGCTTTGGCTTTGAGGCGGGTTGAGGTGTGACGCAACGAGAAGCGCGACAGTTCAGTCTAAAGAACATGGCGGCTTCAGCCGATGAAACTAGTGTTAGCGTGGCTATCGAGCAAGTTTTATCGGAATTACACTGTATTTCTTCATTAAAAGAAGAGCAAAACACTGCTCTGGAGGCTTTTCTCAGAAGAAAAGATGTTTTTGCTCTTCTCCCGTCTGGTTTCGGCAAGAGTTTGATCTATCAATTGGCTCCTCTTTGTCGTCGCTCTGTTACGTCATATGCTTCATTGATCTGATTAGTTTATTTGGCCCGTCTGTCACCAACATAGGCCAATCAGCTAACCAGTATTTTCGCCCCTTCCCAAAATTACTTCTACGGAAGGTTTCCAGATGGATATGCAGAGCAAATCCATCTGGCGGAGTCAGGTTAATGCATTAGTGCATAGCTACATGATTTGAACATTATATTACAATACAGTTTATTGACAAACTGCAAAATATGTGAAATGTAAGCCTCAATTCTGCAATGATTTTATGCAATCCTTTGGTTTTGTAAAGTAGAAAAAGAATTATTAGAACAATTTAATGGTGCCTGATTTGCTCCTTCCTGTTACCCACCATTTTAGAATGACCCAACCTGTCAGCATCCATTTCCCTTCCTAACAGTTAAAGCCTCTGTCTAAGCTGCTGTCGTGTATAAATTTTATCCCTGTCAGGGCCCATGGCATCTTTTTTTCATTAACTCGATATTAGCCTCTGTGCAATTAGGTCTACACCTACGCTCAGAGGAAACTGGAGTGATTTGGGCAGAGCTACTGTAGCACATACTGATAGCCTTGTTTATTTCCTCTTGTCTCCTCATTCTTGAACCAAAACATCACACAGAGTCAAGCAGATCTTCCTGTAAAATACTAATTTTGAAAAGAATTTGGATCAAAAATCTATGAAAACTTACATTTACTTTTCTATGAGTTTGTTTTAAGGCTCCCTCATTCTTTAGATGTCAGATGTTTCATCCATATGTTGAATTACAATAATTTTTATGCTTAATTTAGTACAGGACATAATTTTCTATGAGTAGGAGGGAGAAAAAAACTGCAAATGGAGATCTGTGATGGTTAGAAACTTGCCTATGACATTTAGAGAGCACATTACAATGGTCAGGGGATAACACTAAAAGTAAAGTAATTACCTTTAATTCTTAGATTATACTAAGTAGCCTTTTGTGTTATTTTTCTCTAAAGGTTCTGGTTTGATCAATCTGAGCAGTTAAGTTAAAAGTTGTAATGCTTAGACTAAAAGGTTTCATTTTTATTTGGTTTTGCAGTCAATGCTGAAAGAACATCATGGTTATTCTAAAGATATACGGGTTATGGCACCATTTACTTTCTTCATTAACTAACTATCTTGTTACATTACAATCTAGTCTAAACTTAATGTTAAATTTTTTTGGGATTTTAAAGTATGTGATTTACCAATCCATGCTTTCAGAAGGTACCCAATAAGTACATTTTGTGATTTCCAGGTCCAAAGAGGAAATATAATACATCTACTCTACACATCTAATCTTTAAAATCATGCTAAGATAAAAGCTGCTGTGAAAAGTAAATCAAGAAGTTCTGTTCGTAGTTTGAAAGTATTTAGGGTACAGATCAAAGAATAGGCCGATGATTCTCTGGTAAAATACGATCAGTAATAAAGCTTTTTGTATTTCTAAGCCAACATAAATTAGCTGCGTAAAGAGGAATATCAATATTCTTAACAGTTTCAAAGTGATGTCAGCATCATGCTGTTGGGATGCTTTTCTTGGAAAGCTACCCTGCTAGTTTATTAGAAAATGGGTGGGGCTGGATAGAAGAGGAGTAATTAACTTGGTCTCTCCAGCAGATGGACACTAAATACCCAGCAATAGGTACAGGGTACTAGTTTTGATCAAAGCTAATCCATGTGTTAGCAAGGCCAACACCTCAATCTATTTGTGAATCTGTAAAAAGATTAAAAATCTTACACCCATAAACGACCTATATTCAATCTAACAACCCCCAGAAATTTAAGCTGATGCTGCAGCAAAATAAGAGTATTTACGAAATGTATGTCTCTATAGTTATGCTGCTATACACTGCAAAAACAATCCAGAAATAAGTAAAAAATTGCTTAAATTAAGGATATTTAGCCTTAATTTGAGCAGGTAAATAAGATGATTTGCCAATGGAATGAGTATTTTCACTCTTAAAATAAGATAGTTAGATAATATGCACTTGAAATAAGAAGAAAAAATTGTTTTTTCTTATTTTAAAAGGAAATTGTCTTGTTCCATTGGCAAAGTGTCTTACTTACCTTCTCAAATCAAGGAAAAACGCACTTATTTTAAGAAAAAATAACTTATTGAGATTTCTATTTTTTGCAGTGTAGGCTTAGACTGCTGGAGGACATAGGGACCCCCATTTCATCATTCTGCTTCATTCTCTCTCTATTCTCCTATTCTGTAGAATCTGTTAGTTCAATCTCTAACATTCTGCTCTCTCAGCTTTTCCTCAGAGTAGCTTTGCCTAATCTGTTCCTGTTTGGCTGTGACGCCATCCTGGAGAGAAACATCAACTGTGCTGCTTCCATCAACACCCTTGTTTATTGATACTGGAGATCGGCCTGTTTTCCAGTGTGGTCCTGTTTCGCTGACCGTGACTGGCTGGATGTGCTCTCTTCGTCCTCTGGCATGGGAGCTGGCTCGGAGCTCGTCTGCCTGGCTATGTGTTTCCAGGACGGGGCCGCCTTTTGCAGCTGCTTTTTGTGTCTCTGCTTCTGTCTCCTTGAACCCCAGTCGGCCTCAGCAGATGGGCGCTCACACTGAGCCTGATTCTGCTGGAGGTTTCTTCCTGTTAAAAGGGAGTTTTTCCTCTCCACTGTCGCTACAAGCATGCTTAGTGTGAGGGATTGTATTTGAGTCAATGAGTCGATGCAATCAACTGGTTTTTCTTAGATAGAAAACTTTGAATCAATTTGACTGGATGATCTGGTTGAACTGTAAAGTGCCTTGAGATGACATGTATTGTGAATTTGGCGCTATATAAATAAACTGAATTGAATTGATTCTTTGCAATTATTATATCATAACTAGAAAAGTTAACGCACTTATTATAAATTATTTTTAATTTACATTCAAGCCGAATTTTGCTTTACATTTTAGTTTAACAGAAGCGCCCCTTTTTTTCCAGCTTTTGACTGGATCATTAGAAAAGCAATGAGGTTTAGTTTTTTTTTTCTTTCTTCCTTCCTCTTACCTCATTGAAAATTAAATAAATATTTGAATGTAGCTACGTACTTGTGGAATTTGTTGCGCAACTTAAGAACTTAAGATCTGCTTGAGTATTTTTCTCTGCTCAAGTAATTTAATTGGAAAAGAGTTTTTTTTTTTATATACATTGAATATTCATGATTTATGGGAAAAAAAGTGCACTTGATTACAATGTGTTTTTGAGTATCTAAAACTTTTGTGATAATCTGTTAAACGATTTATTTCTTTATTTATATAGTTATTTGTTATAGCTATATATATATATATATATATATATATATGTTTGTATATATATTGGTAAAATGTGTAAATATGGAAAACTATCTGCATGTATAAATGTGTTCCAAAATTTAATGCACACATATTTTAAACATGCAGATCTCATTGGTTAAGAACAACTGCTCATTTGTTTTTTTTTGACCATTCTAGGTCAGGTTTTTTTTTTATGCCAGAAAAAGGACATCACCCTCACTACAATCTGGTTCACAACAACTTTTTTTTCTTCTAATTCAACTGAAGATGGCGAGCTAAGACCTCTACCTGTGCGGTAGGATACAGACTCTTCTTTCCTATAAGGATAAAAACTATTCTCTTCCCAACCCTGGATTACCATAGCGTATGGACTAACAATCTAACCTAACTGAACCTTGGGGACAATTAATCAAAAACTGTTTTGTTATTAATGTTTGTGTGTTTGTTGTTTTTTTTTTTTGTGTGTGTCTTGGCCACTTTAATACAAAACTAGTTAAACCTTATTTTTGTCTCTGTGATTATTCACACCTCGGGCTCCTCAACGAACCCTCTTCTGGTAACATCTTTCTACATCTATATAGTCAGTTCCTTGTCATTAGCCTTTAACAAGCGTTACATTTGGCAAGCTAGCCAGGAGTCTGATGTGTGAATATTCATTGTGAATTACTGAGATTGTTTTTTGTTTTTTGACTAAACTTGCATCAGAAGTGTCTGAAATGGATTTCATTGAAAAAACAGGGGTTGAGGTTTCCCATTGTGTTTTTGCTACCGGTGTGACTAACACTCAAGCAGATGATGAGTTGATTGATTATTTGCGTACTTATGGGGATTTAAAAATGGCATTTACTGTTACAGATTCTGACAGTTCTTTTTACAAAAACCTGATTGTTGAATATGATACATACGCAGCTTTGAATAAATTGAAGCCTCTTTTGCCATATAAATTTGAATCACAGAGCAAGTCTGGTTTAGTCTGTGAAATAAAACTACTTGCGGATGAACTTTATGCCACAGCCACAGGGGGGAGTACTGCCATCATTCCTGCCCCCACTGTACCTTCCACTGATTACCTCCATGAGCTCAAACGCATTGCTTACCGATGTGGAAAACCCTTTGAAGAAGTTATTAAAGAGGTAATGGATCAAATAAGTGGACATCTGGCAGAAGTCGGAGGAAATGATGATGATGATGAAGATGAGGAGAGACAAGAGACTACAGTTGATGTACTGGAGACGGGGCAGACCATGTCAGGTTCAACCCTTGTGTCTCAGATGCCATCAACTTCTCAGTCGGTGGGTCATTCTTCCACTGGCCAATCAGCAGACCCTCCTCTAGTCAATACAGCTGCCAATCCAGGACAGCTGATTTCTCTTTCTGGACACGACTTGAATCCCCCAGAAGTACAGAGGGTTGTCGTGGAGCACATTGTGAGAAAGGACGACATGAGCCTCCAATCCTTGTCCCCACTGCGCCTACGAACATTTTCTGGAAGGATTCCTAAACCAAGTAATGAGGCAGATTACGACTCATGGCGTTCCCATATTGAACTCTTGCGAGCTGACCCTACCTTGTCGCCACTGCACGTTACAAGGCGCATTCTAGAAAGCCTGCTCCCTCCAGCTGCCGACCTTGTTAAAAGCTTGGGGCCCAACTCTTTACCAATCATGTTCACCCAAGTGCTCGACTCAGCCTTTGCCACTGTCCAGGATGGAGAAGAGCTCTTCGCTCAGTTCCTAAACACTCTTCAGGACCACGGAGAGCGAGGGTCTTCCTTCCTGCAAAGACTGCAACTGACACTGAGCACAGTTGTGAAGCGGGGCGGAATCCCAGCAAGAGACACTGACAAGCATCTATTGAAACAGTTCTGCAGAGGATGCTGGGACAATGTTGTCATTACAAAATTACAGCTTGAGCAAAAAAAAGACAATCCACCTACCTTCTCCGAACTTTTGTTCCTGCTCCGGATCGAAGAGGACAGGCAGTTGGCCAAAGAGTCCTTAATGAAGAAACACATTACATCCTCGAAACATCGTGCCAACCTGCAGTCTCAGAGTGCATCCTCCTGTGTCTGTGGCCGCACGGACACCAGCGCCATTGATGAACTGAAACAACAAATGGTAAAACTGCAAAATCAGATGTCTGCTTTGCTGGCGAAGAAAATTCCCGCCTCTGCACCAGATTACCGGCAGAGTAAGTTAAAGCCAAAAGTCAATGTCTCCACCAGGCCCAAGCCTTGGTTTTGCTTCAAGTGCGGCGAAGATGGACATATTGTTCCTGCCTGCACAAATTTAGCCAACTCCAGCCTTGTTGAACAAAAGCGCCGACAGCTGAAACAGAAGCAGCAAGCATGGGACGCTAAGAACTCCAAACAGTTAAACTAAATGCAGCTTCTTCGGAGGGACAGGTGGAAGCTGCTACTGAATTGTGTCCCCAAAATCAACGTTTTACACCACGAAACTCCTTTCCCAAAGGATTAATTGGAACAAAAAGTATAGGACAGGTCAAGATAAAAGGCTCAAACTTTCATTGCTTGTTTGACACCGGATCCCAGGTTACCACTGTCACTCACTCCTTCTATAACACATATTTGTCCGACCACGAGATCAAGCCCCTAAATAACCTGCTGGAGGTGGAAGGTGCAAACGGACAAGCTGTGCCCTACTTAGGATTTGTGGAGTTGGACATTACCTTTCCTGCTGAGTTCCTGGGACAGTCAGTGAATGTGAACACTCTGGCATTGGTGGTACCTGACTTCAGATCATCACAGCCCTCAGTCCTCATTGGTACCAGCACACTGGATGTGGTGTATGAGAAACACTCTGAGATCAAAGACTCCGAATTCCAACCAGTACCATATGGGCATAGAGCTGTGCTGAAGATCCTAGAGCTAAGACACAAGCTTGCCACTGATGATCACCATGGCATTTTAAAGCTACAGACCAACAGTCCACAGACCTTCGCAGCTGGAAAAACCATTGTCATGGATGCTATATCCATCGCTCCAGTGTTACAAGGTGAGAAGTCTGTCGTTATCCAGCATCCAACATCTTTCTCCCTGCCCGGCGGCCTGATGGTCCAGTCATGCCTGGTGGATCTTCCCTCAGTCCAACCGTGCCATCTCCCAGTTGTCATCACAAATGAGTCTGACCACGATGTCATCCTTCCAGCCCGTGCTGCTATCGCAGAGCTGTGTGCCTTCCAGTCAGTCCTCCACAAGCAACAGAGTGTGTGCCAGCAAGACAGCCTAAAGTCATCAGAGTCAAAGCTGAACTACAATTTTGCTGATTCACCCATCTCCCCAGAGTGGAAGCAACGTATTATTTCCAAGCTCGATAGCATTCCTGAAGTCTTTGCTCACCATGACCTTGATTTTGGTTGCACTGACAAAGTAAAGCACCAGATCAAACTTGCAGACCCAACACCTTTTAAGCAAAGACCCAGGCCCATCCACCCACAAGACCTGGATGCTGTCAAACAACATTTGCAAGAGCTGTTGGAGTCTGGCATAATACGTGAATCAGACTCACCATTTGCTTCCCCCATCGTTGTGGTGCGCAAAAAGAATGGCAGCGTAAGACTCTGCATAGACTACAGAAAGTTAAACACTCAAACCATCAAAGATGCATATCCTCTGCCAAAGCTAGAAGACACCTTTACGGCCCTGTCCGGATCAAAATGGTTTTCCGTCCTAGATTTGAAGTCCGGCTACTATCAAATCGAGATGGAGGAATCTGATAAATGCAAAACCGCCTTCGTCTGTCCTCTAGGCTTCTGGGAGTTTAACCGCTTGCCGCAAGGAGTTACAAATGCGCCCTCCACTTTTCAGCGGTTGATGGAGAAGTGCATGAGCGATTTAAACCTCAAAGAAGCACTCGTCTTCATCGATGATTTAATCGTGTTCGCTCCGACGCTGGAAGAGCACGAAGAGCGGCTGATGAGGGTTTTGCTGCGGTTAAAGGAGTTTGGCCTGAAGTTGTCTGTGGAGAAGTGTGTCTTTTTCCAGCCATCTGTGCGGTATCTCGGACATGTGGTGTCGAGGAATGGAGTTGAGACAGACCCAGAGAAAATTGCCACCCTAACATCTTGGCCAGTCCCACAGAACCTCAAGGAACTTCGCTCATTCCTCGGATTTGCCGGTTATTACCGACGCTTTGTGAAAGACTACTCATCCATCGTCAAACCACTGAATGAGCTGACCTCAGGCTATCCACCAAACCAGAAAAAACGAAAACCATTGATAAAATCCCAGACCTACCTGAACCCAAAAGAGCCTTTCGGTGGCCGCTGGTCCCCTGCATGTCAGACTGCCTTTGAGACCATCATTCAAAAGCTCACTTCAGCGCCTGTTCTCGCCTTTGCCGATCCTAGCAAGTCGTACACCCTGCATACAGATGCCAGCTGCACAGGACTTGGTGCTGTTTTATACCAAGAACACGACGGCAAGAACAGAGTGGTTGCTTATGCCAGCAGGGGCCTGTCTCGGAGTGAAGCCAGATACTCTGCACACAAGCTGGAATTCCTAGCATTGAAGTGGGCGGTGACCGAAAAGTTTAATGACTATTTGTACGGCACACCTTTTACAGTGGTCACAGACAGTAACCCTTTGACCTACCTCCTTACCTCTGCAAAGCTGGATGCAACGAGCTACAGGTGGCTCTCTGCCCTTTCCACCTACTCATTCAAGATTATTTACAGAGCAGGAAAGCAAAATGCTGACGCAGATGGTCTCTCTCGTCGACCGCATGAGGTGTTGCCAGATGACCACCTGACACAAAAAGAGCGTGAGAGAATTTTAAGGTTCACCCAACATCACCTACAAGATTCCTCACCTGTCTCCATAGACCAGCACACAGTCCATGCCATTTGTGACCGACAGCTTGTGTATGGTTCCACTGCTGAAGACCAAGTTCTTGCTCTGGTCCAGACACTCACCACTGATCCAGGAAGTCTGCCAGACAGTTTTGTTGATGACATACAGTTTGCCTCACCCGTCATACCTGCATTCTCTCCTGATGAAATTGCAGCCAAACAGCACACCGATCCCGTCATACAGCATGTTGTTGCACAGTTGGAAAGAGGAGAAAGTCCACCTACTTCTCTGAGGGACGAACTTCCAGACTTACCTTTACTCCTGCGAGAACTAACAAAACTGGAGCTCCACAACAATGTTCTTGTACGGAGAAGGCAGATTGGGAGTGAAACCACATACCAGCTTGTGCTACCTGAAGAATGTCGCTCTGAAGCATTATACCAGCTGCATGATCAGATGGGACACTTGGGCATTGAGAGAACGCTTGACCTTGCAAGATCCCGGTTTTACTGGCCTCGTATGTCTGCAGATGTCCACAACAAAATAAAGAACTGTGAAAGATGTGTCCGACGGAAAACACTGCCAGACAAAGCAGCTCCGCTGGTTAACATCAAAACGTCAAGACCTTTGGAACTGGTATGCATGGATTTCTTGTCGTTGGAACCTGATCGGAGCAATACCAAAGACATACTCGTGATAACTGACCACTTCACAAAGTATGCAGTCGCTGTTCCCACGCCAAACCAAAAAGCGAAGACCGTAGCAAAGTGCTTATGGGACAACTTCCTGGTACATTACGGCATCCCTGAGAAGCTCCATAGTGACCAAGGACCTGATTTTGAGAGCCGTATTATCAAAGAACTCTGTGCAATGGCAGAAATCAGCAAGATCCGTACCACCCCATACCATCCTCGGGGTAATCCAGTAGAACGGTTTAATCGCACCCTTCTGGACATGCTGGGAACTTTGAATGATCACGACAAGACACACTGGAGAGATTTTGTAAAACCACTGGTGCATGCGTACAACTGTACCCGGAGCGATGTCACAGGATTCTCCCCTTATGAGCTTATGTTTGGACGTCAGCCACGCCTCCCAATAGATCTCGCTTTCGGACTGCCATTGGGAGAGAAAACGCACTCCTCTCACTCTCAGTACATTGAAAAGCTGAAAGCCCACCTCGAAGAAAGCTACCAAATTGCCATTGAGAACTCTGAGAAGCTGATGCTGAAAAACAAAACCCGTTTCGACAAGAACATCACTCCTTCAGAGTTGTCGGTGGGAGATCGTGTGCTGGTGAGAAATGTGAGAATAAGGGGAAAACACAAAATTGCTGATCGGTGGGAGCCAGATGTGTACACAGTCATCAAAAGAGCCAGTCCACTTCCAGTCTACACCGTGAAGCCAGAAAACAAGGACCGTCCTGTACGTACACTCCATCGAGACCTGCTATTACCCTGTGGTTTCCTCTCAGCCCCTGCCAAACAAATCAAACAGAAAGTGACACATTCCCTACCGTCAGAAAGCACACCTCTCAATCCTCCTGATGATGGTGGTGAAGATATCCTGTCGGAAGAAGAACTGATTCCTGTTAAACCTCTCTCCATCTCAGAACCAGTCAGATTCACATCCATAATCGAATTGCCCACTTCTGCTCATCCGGCTGAGTCAGCTGTGGTCCCGCCTGGCCAGCAACCACAGTCTGCCCGGACTGAAGAACCTCTGATGGAAGTGGGGCCTCGTGTGATTGAGAGTGAACCGGAATCTGAATCGTCACAAGAAACCATTGACCACTTAGCTGAAGCTGTAAATACTCACTTAGACTTAAGACCTGCTGCTAACCTGGAGCCTGAAGAAAGCGCTTCCTCTGATCCGGAAACTCCAGACCCCGTCAGCATTGTCTCTGAATCTGACTCACCCCCTGAGCTTGAATTGTCCAGTCCCGGGTCCGAACCACCAGGCCATCGACCTATCCGAACACGTCGTCCTCCTGAGCGGTTCCAATACTCCAGGCTGGGCCATCCACTGCTCCAAAGTATCCAATCTTTGTTCCATGGACTAAGCACCGCCTTTAATTATGTTGTTGAAATTGATGAGGTCCAACCTTCCCTTACCAGTAAACAAGCCGTCTGCCGTCAGCCCGCTGCATGTACAGGGCCGTACATGAGTTCAGGGGGGGAACGTGTAGCCCTCAGCTCCTAAGTCCTTTTAATTTGACGGGCCACGCCCTGTGCGACATCACCCCAACTCTATTTACCTGCGGAGTCAGAGTGCCACTCCCTCCTCCATTCCCCACCTGTGGCTGTTGCATGCTCTGTTGGCGTCTCGTTTAAAAAAAAAGCTACTGGATCTTCCTAAAGATCTAATATTATAAGCTGTCTTTTGGGTGAGTGTTTTAACGCTACAAAACCAATCTCCTAATGTTTACTAACATCGTGTGATTACTCACCAAGCGTAACTTTTTACAGACTCGCTTCTCTCTCACAACTTGGGCCAAACCGCTCATGTTGTCTTTCATTAATACCACTACACAGACGGAGATCAACTTGTCATCCCTTCAACGGTGAGTTGTTAACTCCGATTCGGGTCATTTATTTTGTTTGCAGCGGCTAGATTTAAGTTTATATTCCGCGATCTGCGTCTTTTGTTTGTACCGCTGCCTCCACTTAATTCCTTGCCGCGCTGAGTCCCAGCGTTATTATGAATTTTGAACTACGTTTGTAGTGTGTAAAATATCGCTTCTGCTTGTTTAATATAAATTATTTTTAATTTACATTCAAGCCGAATTTTGCTTTACATTTTAGTTTAACAGAAGCGCCCCTTTTTTTCCAGCTTTTGACTGGATCATTAGAAAAGCAATGAGGTTTAGTTTTTTTTTTCTTTCTTCCTTCCTCTTACCTCATTGAAAATTAAATAAATATTTGAATGTAGCTACGTACTTGTGGAATTTGTTGCGCAACTTAAGAACTTAAGATCTGCTTGAGTATTTTTCTCTGCTCAAGTAATTTAATTGGAAAAGAGTTTTTTTTTTTATATACATTGAATATTCATGATTTATGGGAAAAAAAGTGCACTTGATTACAATGTGTTTTTGAGTATCTAAAACTTTTGTGATAATCTGTTAAACGATTTATTTCTTTATTTATATAGTTATTTGTTATAGCTATATATATATATATATATATATATATATGTTTGTATATATATTGGTAAAATGTGTAAATATGGAAAACTATCTGCATGTATAAATGTGTTCCAAAATTTAATGCACACATATTTTAAACATGCAGATCTCATTGGTTAAGAACAACTGCTCATTTGTTTTTTTTTGACCATTCTAGGTCAGGTTTTTTTTTTATGCCAGAAAAAGGACATCACCCTCACTACAATCTGGTTCACAACAACTTTTTTTTCTTCTAATTCAACTGAAGATGGCGAGCTAAGACCTCTACCTGTGCGGTAGGATACAGACTCTTCTTTCCTATAAGGATAAAAACTATTCTCTTCCCAACCCTGGATTACCATAGCGTATGGACTAACAATCTAACCTAACTGAACCTTGGGGACAATTAATCAAAAACTGTTTTGTTATTAATGTTTGTGTGTTTGTTGTTTTTTTTTTTTGTGTGTGTCTTGGCCACTTTAATACAAAACTAGTTAAACCTTATTTTTGTCTCTGTGATTATTCACACCTCGGGCTCCTCAACGAACCCTCTTCTGGTAACATCTTTCTACATCTATATAGTCAGTTCCTTGTCATTAGCCTTTAACAAGCGTTACAAATGGGTGTGGAAAATCTGCTGGGATCCTGATGACTTTGGGGTAGAGGGGTCATTAAGGCATGGCTGAAGTGGAACAGCCCATGTACTTGGAAAAAAAAAAAAATACTAGGGAGAGAAAGGTCGCTGGAGGTGACCGGCTTTGCAACTGGCTGAGAATGTAGGCAACAGATGGAAGGGAGTACCATGTGTCGCAAGCAGCTGACGCAATCCTTCACAGCTGTCCAATGAGCTGAGAGCATGCAGAAAAATAACAGGGTAGGCCCAGAGGAGCTCACAGGTGGTATGTGGATTGAGGAGTAAACATTCTAATTGCTCACTTTCTGGCTGGGCTCTCTCTCAGCATTGTGACTCCAGCCGATTAGAAGGCCTCTGAGTGCTGGCAATGAGGTAAGAAGAAGAGCGCTGGACACCATACCTTGCACCCGAGGTTTTCTTTTAAAATCCATAACTTTGATTTTCTGCGTAGCAGTTGAAGCCCAACAACCACACCTCTTGACACTAGCTGTGGACTACTCAACAATAAGGAATACCCCAAGCACAGTTTAGATCAAACAAACTAGCTACTCTTTCTGGTTTTGAACAGATTTGCAAAACTATAGGCTGAGCAAAGTTAATATTTTCACTTAAATTTAGATTACACAGTTCAGCTTTATAAAACCTGAAAAGTGTGTCCTGATGTTGAAGGATTAAAAAAAGAATCCTTAAAATACTTCTGCTGACCAAATGATGCCAATTCCTGTGTGTAAGATATGGAAATGTTAAAGTTTACCACTTGCAAGCTGAAACTCAACCCCAGCTACAGTTTTTTCTCTTTTTTTTTTTAGGACGTCTTGTAAGTCATGTGCAAACTGACACACAAAAACTTCTTTGGTCATTTTTGCATCAAAAGAGCCACTAGTACAATTCAAGGCTCTGGAGAGAGAAATAGGCTACAGGCTTATAGATGCATCAACACTTAACTACTGAGGAGTCAGTCTGATCATCAAGCAAGTTTTAATCGTAAAGAGTAAAAAAAAGGACAATTATTTTTTGCCTGCCACAGTCTTGTATAGACACACAAAGAGAGAGAAAACAACAACAAAAAGATCTGTCAGTTTATCGGAGCGTTCCACAGCTGTACTTTCATACCGCCCGTAACCCAGCGCTATAGAGAGAAATTGTTTACGGCTGTAACCATGCGACAGGAAGAAGCTCATAGACGTCACTTATTTGTTGATACATTTCGCTCATCAAATTCAGAGACGCCAGAGCGGGAAATCTGACTAAGATAAGTGAAAATACATTTTTGGCCAATAGAGCTATTAAGTTGGATTGTGGATCAATAGGCCATGTTGTTGATCTCATCAAGCTAATCAACTTCTAACATACCAAACTGATTCTAACTTTCTGACCTCCATGGTCAGTGGCGGTTATACTTCCCGGGCGAGAACCACTCCAAGCGGCAGTTATATCTTTTTCGAAGCACGCGTCCTGCCCTCGTTTATAAAAGGAGGGTGGGACCCCCCGCCCTCGCTGCCCGGTTTCCCAGTACAGTGTTGCAAACTCAGCAACTTTGTCCCTATATTTAGCAACTTTTCAGACACCTCCAGCAAATTTTTTTTTTTTCAAAAAAGCGACTAGCGACAAATCTAGCGCCTTTTCTGGTGTCACTGGTGGCTTTCGGAGTCTCTTATGTTATATCCAAGTAACGTCTATTATTAATTTAATGTTATGCCATCACATTAAGCAATGCTCAGTGAAAAAAGTTAAGACATTTTAAAATGTATCCTGTAGAAAATGGCCATATGCAGTATTGCTAAAATTATTCAGGATGGCCTTGTAATTTCAAACAGAAAATCTTTTTATTAGATACTTTTTAGGATTCCACACATTTTCTCTGCATTAGAAGATTGGCATACATTATAACTGAGAATTTATAATGTGATTGTCAATCTCTGGAAATCATAAAAAGGAAAGCTGTAGGGTGTTATTCAATAGAAATCCTCTTTTGCTTCCTCTCCTCTATTTTCCCCCTATCCCTACTATCTGCAAACATCTTTTCCGCCCATCCCCGAACACACGGATGAATGGTTAAAGGATGTACCACTGATACAACTTTGAAAAGAGCTGTCAGTCCTGCCCCCAGATCACAGCATTGAGCAAAGTCAGGGACATGTGATTGGTGTTCAATTAGAACTCCATTTGTTAGCTTGTTGGAGCACATCACTTTGCAGTGAGGTCACCAACCCGTGTCAGTAAATGACTATGGAAAGAAAAATGTTTTGCTCTAATTTAATCTATTAGAAACACAATTAGGCACAGAGGTGATGCTTTTAATAGCCACAAATTGAACAGAGTACCTTATAACTTAAGTTATTAAAGGGAAACTATCCTCATTTATCAAGAGCCCCTCAACTCTTCTTATTAAGGCTGAGGAACAAAACGCTGTTGCTTTTTCTTATCATGACTAAAGCAACCAAACAGCTATAAGAGCTAGCCGTACTACCATATATAATCAATATGAAATCTTATCCATCCATCCAATTGTTATTACATAGATCCACACATAACCTCCTCCCTTTTGCATCATTTGTGAGGTTGCATTTGACGGGAAAAAAGGGAAAAAAGAAAAGAAAAGTTGCAACCAAAGCATGTAATGCAACCCTGCTTCTGTTGCCTTCCTGGCGCATCCCATCAAAGTTAACCTGAAAGACTGTTTAAAGATTTTGAAATTAATCTGGATTCCATATGATTATTTCTAGATGACAAGAGCAATTTCTACTAACCTGACTCTGCCAGATGGATTTGCTGGATTTGCTCCGCATATCCATCTGGAAACCTTCCGTTGAAGTAATTTTGGGAAGGGGCGAAAATACTGGTTAGCTGATTGGCCTATGTTGGTGATAGACAGGCCAAATAAACCAATCAGATCAACGAAGCATATGACGTACTAACAGAGCGACGATGAAAACACAACCACAAGCCAGGCTAACTCTTGCCGAAACCAGTCGGGAGAAGAGCAAAAACATCTTTTCCTATGAGAAAAGCCTCCAGGGCATGTGTTTTGCTCTTCTTTCAGTGAAGAAATACTTTGTAATTACGATAAAACTTGCTCGATAGCCACGCTAACGCTAGTTTCATCAGCTGAAGCCACCATGTTCTTTAGACTGAACTGTCGCGCTTCTCGTTGCGTCACACTTCAACCCGCCTCAAAGCCAACGCTGATTGGACGTTCGTTTGGTGAACGGCTCCAAATTTTCTTTAAAGGAAAGTAGCCAGACTGATCTGCGAGTGAAACCTTGAAAGCTTGCGAGATCAGGATGGTCTCACGAGGCTAAATTTCTACACAATTTTGCAATATTTCAATTTTCAACTTCTCTGTAAATTGCCTAGGTGACATGTGGCGCCATTTGATTAACCTGAATTGTATATTTTCTGTTCCTCCCACTGTCCAAAAACATGACTGTTAGGTTAATTGGCTTCTCTAAAAAATTGTCCTTAGGTCTGAGTGTGTGCATGAATGGTAGTTTGTCCTGTGTGTCTCTGTGTTGCCCTGCGATGGACTGGCGACCTGTCCAGGGTGTACCCCGCCTCTCGCCCATTGACTGCTGGAGATAGGCACCAGCACCCCTCGCGACCCCACTTGGGAAAAGCGTGTAAAGAAAATGGATGGATGTATATTTTCTGTTTGAATACGTAGATATGAGTATCATGCATTTAAAACTATGTTTTGAAGACTGGGATCTGTGAACAATAAATCAGTCAAATTTTGAATCTTATGTCTCAGGTTTTCCGTTAATGTTTGGGGGGGGATTTAGTTATTCCCAAAATACTAGATGTTTTTGATGTTCTTTGATTTAATGAACCCAATCTCACCCATTTTCTTATGGAGATAGACAGACAGACAGAAAGACAGGATATAATATTACTAAACAACCTTTGGGTTTATTAAACAAACACATTGAGCATTTGCACAACATAGATAAGTGTGTGCAAAACCCAAGCAAAGTCACATTTTCCACAGTTCTGAGTGCTGAGATTACTCCTGGTGGATAGTTTAGTGTTTGAGGTCGACATGCAATTTTAAATATTACCAGACCGTACTGCATTTTAGCTAAAAGGAAAGCTCCATGACGGATCGTTTCACAGAGCTGAAGGTTCACACTGGATACTCCCCATGGAGAAGACTCGCGGACTTAAGGACAGTGGGTTTAGCTGGTGGGGGGGTCCTGTCCTTTCAACATATGCACAGAGGCAGACAGCCAGAAGCAGACAGGAGCATTTAAGGCGGGGACTCATGCGGCGAGGGCCTTGGACAGCATCCAGAGAGACAAGTGAAACAGCTTAATCACACCCAGACTTGGAAAGTTAAAATGAAATCCAAATGGGGGAAGCTTGTAAAATTTATGAGCTCTTTGAAATGAGAGACTGCAACTTTGCAAGGAGTTCTAAGAGAGTGTGTGTGTAGCACTTACTCCCTGAAACAATATCACCAAAAACCATTACAGTCATGTCCTATCACTATACTAGCTGTCATGTTCACAACATCCCAACAATTAAAAGAATGCTGGGAGGGTTATATCAGCCTTTTTATTTGTATGACTGATGTTTACAGCAATGTAGTCAAAAACACCAGGACAAGAAAGAGTTTTCATAAACTACTTGGATCAGCTACTTGATTCTTTTTGGCAAAGGGCCCTAAATGGTCATACATCTTTAACTGCAAACAGAAACGTGTATTTACTGCAGATAATTACAGGGAGGTGGTCTAGATTCATTTAAGACAAGCATTAATTGAGATATACCATTAAGTCCAACACGAGCTGCTGTGCCGACAACATGGTAATTAGAAAGAAGAGATTCTTACCAAAACCCCCAAAGGCAGAAACAAATGTTAAAACAATGCTAAACATAGATTAGAGTGGTCAAAATGCCCGAATATAAATTCTATTGCCAAAAGAACCGTCTTAAAATGTTACTGTTAGATTGGATTAAAGATACTGTGGCAGA